GTTTGCCTGGAGAACAGATGAGAGAAGACTGTCTTTCCCACAAGAAACATACAGGAGGTGATACAGTACATGTTTGGGCAGCTATTCATCATGATGGAAAAAACTGCTCTTCATATCCTCCAGGGAAACGTCAATGGCGCCTCCTATAAGTGTTATTTCTGCAGTATGCTAGGGCAAGGTTTGGCAGTAACTTTGTGTTTCATGATGACAATGTCCCTTCCCACAGTGTGCGTATATACAGGATTATCTCGACCAGAAGGACGTTATAAGATTGCCATGGTCAGCAAAGTCTCCAGACTGTAATCTAATTTAGGACTGTTGGGCAGAACTGAGCCAGAAAAATGCTAACGTTGACCCTAAACCAGCTGTTGTAGTTGAGGTGCAGTGAATTCTAGTGCCCAATTGGAATGAAATCACAGTGGATTACATCAATAACCTCATCGACAGCATGCTACATCACCTTGCAGAAGTAATTAGAGTACAAAGAGGACCAAGCAAGTACTGAGTATTTAATATGAATTGATATATAGTTACAATATTGATATGGTTATAATATTTTGATGTTATATTTTTGTCATTATATATGTTTTGGTAAGGTTTTGTTGTGATTTAGGTGAAATGATGAATTACACATCTTTCTACAGGTGTCTGATAAAACTGTTTTCTGTTCTAATAACTGATTTATGATGTACATAGAACTTGTTTCATTATACATATTACATATGTAGATGTTTAATATAACATGCATTTCTCAGTTTGACATCACTAAGTGAATTTGTATTCCATCGTAATAGTAATGATCTTATTTGTAACAAAATTTGCAAAAATTTTGCCCAAGACTGTATTTTCAACCCCAAAGGGCACCTTATGCGCCACATGGGTCCACTTATAGCCATCCCTGGTTTATGACTACTGACCCTAGGGATGGCATCCAACTAGCAGCATTCGCTACCAAAAGGTCTGTGTCCGGCCCCTGGATCCGAATAACGGAACTGACTGTAACTCTTTTAACTCACCCACGCGAGAGTTTGAATAGTGTAATTAAACTTAATTTGTTTAAATAATTTCAGAAAATCACCTGCTTTTACCTGTTTTATTAATTTTACGAAAAAGAAAATTCAAATTATTTCTTGTTTTACTAAGCCTTTCACATCAACACTTTCTGTTTGCAGATGTTCCCCGTGATTAAATTCAATAAGAACCTTGTTTAGTAACTTATATTCGTGCTGGTATTCTCAAAACCCTTATCACCACGACGTCATGCGCACCACCATTTATTGAGGCTCGAAACTGAAACGTTTAAAATCGAAAATCCGTTCGCCGCGAGGAATCAGACCCCAGATTTCAGCGTCGTAACTCCGTAAACTTACCGCTGACCCACCGGAGAACAATTACAGTTAATTCTTCAGTGAAAGTGGAGGCCCTAGTTTCAAACTTATTAACATTTAAAACATCAGATTTTACAAAATCCCAGTTTCAGTGAAAGTGGAGGCCCTAGTTTCAAACTTATTAACATTTAAAACATCAGATTTTACAAAATCCCAGTTTAATCTGGAAAAAACGTTCCCATCGTCTTATTTCAGTTTTATAATACTTAATAACCCTTTCTCAGCTCTTCATGGTATTACTTTCAGGATTACTCCATAAATTACTGGATAAAGAAAGGCGTTCCGTCACACAAGTTGGTGATGGCTATAGGTACCTATGGTCGATCCTACAAATTAGTTGATCCAATAGAACATGAGATTGGAGCCGAAGCAGAAGGGCCGTACATTGGAGGACATTACACGAGTAGCCCCGGGTTTCTGGGGATGAATGAGGTGAGTTTACGAACTTGAGATCGGATCTAATAACACGACCCATGCTTAGTAACATAGATAAATCAGACATAACATTATACAAAAAGTCTTTCCCGCCACGCCTTTTTTTTCTCACCTGATAACCCCATTTTTTGAGAGAAATGCATTTCATAATCCTATGGAAGAACGAATTTAGCCAAGTTTGGATGTTTGAATTATCAGAGAAATATTTATCACAAAAGTTGATTTCTGGTTTGTTTGTTGTTGTTTTTTTTGGGGGGGGGTCATATTTCATTTCATTGAGATATTTCTTTTAAGTCAGTTACGGCAACGCTTATTAGGTAAGAAAATATACCCGTAAAATGAATTTCGAGCGAGGAACAAACATTTAGCTAAGTTCAGAATATTTTCTATGAAGCGACCATTATGATGATTTTTTATTTCGAAAAAAAAAGTTGAATTTTTATCAAAATCATTATTAGATACGAGCTATTAAAAGCTATCACGGATATATTATGCTTAGAAAATAATCTAACTGTTTAATACAAGCATTCTATAAAATATTCGGTTTAACTTTCCTGGTTGTTTATGAACTATTTTGGTTCTAGATACAGTAGGCGGTAAAAATATATTGACCATTTTTGTTGCCATACTTCAAAAAATATAAAACAATGAAAATATAGTTTCGGAGGTGATAATATGTAAACATAATGCCGATTTTTTGATGTGAAAATATATTTTTGTATATATTTGTTAATATATAATATCCACAGTAAGTGAAATTTGAATTATCAAATTATATATATATGTATTCATATATCGTTTTTTTATTATTATTATTACTTTAAGATGTGTGAGATACTTTTAACTATACCTGGGGCTGAAATTGGAGAGGAAAATGGTCACGTGGTGCCGTATGTCCATCTATATGATCACTGGGTCAGTTTCGACGATGAATTGAGCGTTTACTACAAGGTATGTCTTACGGTTGCATGCTTGAAAATCGCCATCTCGTGGCAATTTTAAAAGTATTTATACGCATATCATAAAAAAATATTATTTTAAAAATTATAAGAACAATTTCAAATTATTTTTCCAATTTTCTTATGGTTATTATATATTATTATTATAAATAGTTTCTATTTAGCTTGTATTATAATTTGATAGATGGCGTTAAATTCTACATCAGTGGCTTTACGCACATATAAGTTAAAGAAGAAACGTTTGAATACTGGAAATACTATAAACTATCGTGTGAATCAACACAGGTGTTTCAAGGGGACACGGAATACAATTATCAAGAAAAGAAAATCAAAACTGCATAGAAATAGCGTAGAAATATTAATAACAATAATTTGGTTTTTCCACTTAATAGGTACAATACAGCGTACAGCAAGATCTTGCAGGTGTCGTTCTATGGACCATGGATACAGACGACTGGAGAAACAAGTGTAGTTACGGCTCCTTTCCGCTGCACGTCGCTGCTAAAGGCGCCATGACAGGGGAATTAATTCTTGATGGATTATGAAAAAAAAAGGGGGGGTTCATTCTACCGCGCTCATATTATATGTACAGTATTTTTCTATTTATATAAATACAAGATTTGTGTGTGTGGGGGGGGTCGATTTGCCAGACATTTTATAGCTTATTTTCCCATTTTCAATTGACTTATATGAAAACACTTTTATAATTTAGCTCTTGCTTTAAAGAAAAATGTCAACTTCATTGTTTAATATTCTCATTACTCAGAGAAAGAGATTGTAGTTTACGTCATGTATCTCACTCCACTTTTAAATAAGTAATATAAATTACAAAACATTTTTAAAACTGTAATTCCACACTTTCGTTTTGTTCAGATATAATTATGATGATGTTTCCAGTGTATAAACGAATGAAACTTTAATTTTATTTGTTTGTGAGTACGAAATGTTCACTATAAAGTTATAGTAGTTGATACACAAGACAACAGATGGCAGCAGCAGTCTTTTTAATTTTTTTTGCTGGATTGAAGTTTTGAAGTTTTAGTGACAAAAATCAATAAATTGCGTAAATCAGTTGCGTAAATGATAAAAAACAAAATCTACTCCATTTTTAAAGAAACACTGTGCAACTTATGTTATGCATTATACATCTATTATTACTCTAGACTTAACTATATCATAGAAACGACGTGATTACATTGCACATAATGATATATGTAAGATTAAGAAGCTTCTAACCTTGAAGCTAATAAATAAGATCATTAAAATGAAGGATAATATTTCAATAACAAAAAAGTTCAAACCGTTATTCTGGTCGTTATGGCTGAAGAGGCAGTTTCCGGTTGTCCGTCAATACTTTTTTTTTCTTTAAGTACCACCTTCCGCTTTTACGTCTGAGAAGCTAAGTCTATAAGTTCAGCAGTTTAAACATTTTTGATAGCAAACTGGGGGAAGAGTTAAAACGTGTGAGGTGGGGTGAAAATAGCGTGAGTTTCGCTATTCAAATGCCCATTTTAGGAGGGGGGGTGGATTACAGGGGAAAATAAATTGTTCTCAGTCCGAAACAAACACTGGCAAACTCGCCGTGAAGAAATAAATTATTTTAACGTACTCAACTGTCGAGGTAACGACAATTGGTCAACTAACGATGGACGTTTAAAGTAAATGAGGTTTGTTTGTTTTTTTAACTGAGAAAAAATAACCCATGGTTAAATGTAACTCATTTTTATGGGAAGGAAAATAGCAGTTCATTTTGTGATGTCAACTTTGGTTGTAAAGATGACCAGTGATGTTGATCAACTTATCCCGTTTTTTGACGTGCTTGATTAGATGGAACATAACTTTGTTTCGGTATTTTATTTTTGCTAATAACTGATCACATTTAAAACTTTTTTTTTCGGTTATTTCAACCTAGAAAAGATTGAGTCGTTACGTTTTTATGATTCAGCAATATATTTGTAAGTCTAGTTTTTTAACTCGTAAACGAGCAGTGTTTAGAATAGTTTAAAATACTTAAACTTGGATTTTTATATTGGACAAAACTGATTTAGTTATTTCGTTTTTAAGGATTTTTTTTAATAATATTTTGCAAGTGATCCCAAACATAACTTTTTTTAACTATAAAATGTACAAATGATCCTAAACACATTTTTACAAGATATAATACGCAAATTATTCAAAATACACATCTTTTTCAATCTGCAAATGATCCCAAATGTCACTGTTTTCAAAACTTTAAACGTATAAATGGTTAAAAATGATTCTAATTGCAGCCATTTAAACTGTAAGATGATCCCAAATACATTTTTACAAGATGTAATGTACAAATGATGACAAATACATTTTTACAAGATGTAATGTACAAATGATTACAAATACATTTTTCAAGATGTAATGTACAAATGATGACAAATACATTTTTACAAGATATAATGTACAAATGATGACAAATACATTTTTACAAGATATAATGTACAAATGATGACAAATACTTTTTTACAAGACGTAATGTACAAATGATAACAAATACATTTTTACAAGACGTAATGTACAAATGATGACAAATACATTTTTACAAGATGTAATGTGTAAATGATAACAAATACATTTCTACAAGACGTAATGTACAAATGATGACAAATACGTTTTGATAAGATGTAATGTGTAAATGATGACAAATACATTTTTACAAGATGTAATGTACAAATGATGACAAATACATTTTTACAAGATTCAATGTGTAAATGATGACAAATAAATTTTTACAAGATGTAATGTACAAATGATGACAAATACATTTTTACAAGATGCAATGTGTAAATGATGACAAATACATTTTTACAAGATGTAATGTACAAATGATGACAAATACATTTTTACATGATGACAAATACATTTTTACAAGATGTAATGTACAAATGATGACAAATACATTTTACAAGATGTAATGTACAAATGATGATAAATACGTTTTGACAAGATGTAATGTGTAAATGATGACAAATACATTTTTACAAGATGTAATGTACAAATGATGACATACATTTTTACAAGATGTAATGTACAAATGATGACAAATACATTTTACAAGATGTAATGTACAAATGATGATAAATACGTTTTGACAAGATGTAAT